CCTATTTGACAGAAGCAGCAGTTTGGAATAAAATAATCTGTATTTCAGTCTTCATGCATAAGGACAAGGTAAAATGAAGATATTAGATACTTGCCTTCCCGTACAGAGATGTTTGATGGGGAAAGTAGTTTTATAAGAGTGCTATTGGGGCATATCTTTTCAAAGAAGCAAAAACCAACCAACCAACAGCAACCTAAAAAACCAAACTCCAAACCTTTTAACAAAGTTATAAGAAACAATAATTCAAGTGCAAAACAAACCCCACAAAGTCAGACCTGAGAAGGTTTATTCTCCAGGGGAAAATAAATGAAAATGGAGAAAAGACTGCTAATTACACATATTGTTTACCCATTTTAAAATCCAAGACATTTTTTTTTATGATCAAAGAAATCTTAAGCTGAACCAAGTGCAAGGATTTAACTAAACAAAATAATGAAAATGTATTGAAGACAAAGCTAGAGGATGCAAACCTTCCAGCCTCTAGAAATACAGGGCATTTAAAAAATTGCTAAGGAAGAAATGCAGAACTACAATTTCAACTTCCTCTTAGAATACTGTGGCCCTCCTCAGCACCTTGGTCTTCTGCAGTTGAGTGTGTAATGTTCCATCTAACTACAATTCTTTGCCCTTCTCCACATTCCCCCGACCCCATGCTATTTCCTCCTCCTTCCAAGTTGACTTTTGCTAACTCTTCCTAGAGCCATGTTCTCTACATTCTACTAGGGAGTCAAGTTCAGTTGTGTCACCCAGAACTAATTAACTGTTTTTTTAATCCAAGAATTATTGTCTTTCATTTGTGAAGAGGTGGCTCACTCACCATTGGACCATGAGAAACCTTTTCAATATTCTTTTAATTTTGTAGGAAATGTATGGTTTTCACCTTGCCACTTGTTCTTAATTTCCTAATTACTAAGTGCACTGTCTCATCTTCTTACCCAATTAAAATAATAGAGGGTCAGTCATGTCCTTTCCCTTTATTATTTTCTGAATCTCTTGAGGATATTTTTCTCTGCACATTGGAGTCACATGGAAAGAACAAGGACCACTTAAAATACATGTATGTTGTGGTGTTGTTAGGTGCCATCAAGTTGCTTCCAATTCATAGCCACCCTATGTACAAATCTGAATTCTGCTCTATCTTGAGCCAACTTCATTGTCTGACACACCCACCTCTATTACCCTAGTCACTGAGTTAATCTATCTCCTCCAGGGTCTCTCTTGTGCTGTCCCTCCACCATTCCAAGTGTGGTGTTCTTCTACACACACTTATAATATTTTACTTAGGAAGCAAAGGATTTAGGCATGAGGGGATGCTCAAGGCCAAATGTGGAATTAACAATTTAAGTTATTCAAAAAGAATCAGAGAAAAGTCAAAAGGATCCTTTTGGGACCTAAATTTCATTTAATTAAAAAGTTGTTTGAATCCACCAGATGCTCTGCTGGAGAAGGAGGGACAATCTCCTCCTGTACCAGTCAGATCTGATTTGACGGTACACCCCCACAAAATAATTTAAAAAAAAAAACATTGCTCACTTTTTTTTTGAAAAGCTAATTTAGGTGACTTAGAAGTTATATTTAACCCTATTCATAATAGCGGTTTGACTTTAAATTCAAATTTAGGTATAATACCTATGAATCCACCACCCTTCCAGAAAAACCACCAAAAAACTCACATCAATTTAAGCCTGTTCTCTATCTCACCCTTGTATCTTGTGCCATTGTTAGTAGTTACCATTGTGTCTTGTGTGCACAAATATTCTATATAGGATTTTTAAGTTTACTTTTCTGAAGTAAATTGCAGGCCTGTTTTCTGAAATGTCTGAGTTTGATCATCAATCTCTTAGTAACAAATGCTTAACTATCTCACTACCCAGACTCCATGACCACAGATAACCATAACCTTCTTATTATTATATAGTGTTATGTCCCACGAAGTTGGAACTGACTCATAGCTGATCCTCCAGCAGGCTTTCAGAGGCAGTAAATTGCACAGGAGACTGCCTATCATGCTCCCATAGAGCAACTGGTGGGTTGAACCACATGCCTTTGGGACTGCAGTACAGCCTCCTACCACTATATTTGGATATATATGACTTGCTTTTTTCACTCAGCATGTTATTGCATCCATTCTGTTTCTAAAAGAGCTCTAGTGGCACAATCCATAGGGAGCTGCATTGTTAAAGGTGTTGCCTCTGTCTGAATACACCAGTGATTCCTGGGGTGAGAGGGGCAAGATGGACCATCTCCTTTGTGATTACAGCCTCTAAACGGTTTCAAATCCTAGCAATGACTCTAACTGTTCTTAAAGCACTGAGTCTACTAAGGACAGAACAGGCCTATTGTGGGGTCCTTTAAGTGAACTTAGAGATAACCCCAACACTCAGGAAGCAAGGACAAAGCACCCAGGATTTTTGTTTGGATTGGTACTAGGGATCCTTTTTGTAGGTCCTTATTCTTTCTCCTTCTCCCAGTGGTTTAAGTCAAGAAAAAGTGAAACACAATTTTCCTAGTTGAAACCTTGACAGTCACTGCTTTAACTACTTGCATTCCAGGCCAGTGTTCTGGCATCCCAAGGCTTCCAGTCTCTGACTTGTCCTACTCATGAAGAGCCAAGTGCACACACATTGCTGGACAATATTTGGAATATCTGTTCTGCCTTAGTTTAACTCTTGGCTCTGATGCTTCTTAGAGCTGTATGCCTTGGACCAGCCACTCATCCCATTTCAGTCTCAACCACAAAATAACCTATTTCATAGGAATGTTATGAAGATTAAATAAGTTACTGTGCAAAGATCACTTTGTACTATGTGCCAACAACTACACGATGCGTATGGTTAGTATTTTCCATATAAAAAGATGTGCATTTTTATTTATCCAGTTTTCAGAAGCAGTAAATCATACAGGAGACTGTCCATCTTTCTCCATTGAGTAGTTGGTGGATTCAAATCTTGTGCTTTTGGGGTTAGCACTCCTTACCACTAAGTCACAAGAAATATAAATATAAATATATATATGTTGTTGTGTACAGTAGAGTTGGAACTGATTCATAGCTGACCCTATTTTCAGAGGCATTAATCGCACGGGAGGAGACTGCCCATTCTTCTTGAACTGGTGCCTTCAGGATTGCAGTGCAGCTTCTTTCCACTAGGTCACCAGAGCTCCCTCTGTGTGTGTGTGTGTGCACATGTGCATGCGCACACACATATAAAGAATGTATTTCTCTACAAATGTATTTTATTTGTAAAAGAAATAGTTTGAGTAAAGTGAATAGTTGGAGAAGACTTCTGAAATGCACATCTAAAAGAACAAACAAGGATGTCTTAGAAAAGGTAAAGTGAGTGTTTCTTGGAGGCAAAAATCATGAAGCTTCGTCTCATATTTGGGTATGTTGTTGTTAGGAAAGGCTATTCCTTGGAGAGGGACATCATGCTTGAACAGGCGGTAGGTCCACAAAAGAAAGTTAGACCCTCAACCAGATGGATTGACACAGTGACTGCTATAATAGTCTCAAGTGTGTCAGAAATTATAAGGATGGTACAGGATAGGGCAGTGTTTGAATTTGTTGCTCATATAGGGTCAATGGATAATGCTCAACTCAACAGCACCCAACAACAACAAACATTCCGTAAAAGGTAACATAGCCTCATGAAAATACTACTCTGTATCACTTAGCAATATTATGTGAATGAATGAGTCCAAATAGGATGCTAGATCACCAACTCAGGATTTCAGGTATGTAACCCTTGAAGTCAATTGCAGAATCTAGTTGAGAGTTTTGTCTTCCATTGTCAAGTCCAAAAGATAAGAACAGCCAATTTCTGGGTTTAGAGCAGTTCTCAGTCTAATCTTCTCTCCTCATCATGTGGTCATCCAGCACCTCTACAGCAGGCATGCGCTGAGGTTCTGGGTTGGGAAGCAGCACAGCTCTGGACTTTTCTGATATATGCCAAGCATTGCTGTATCACCCTAATGCCAATTACAATACCTTTCTGGTGACGTTACAGGATAAAACAATACAAGAAGTTCAAAATTGCTTTCTCAGTAGGAAGACAGTGCTGGGGAAAAGGTAGCATTACTTTTCAATTGGAAGTAAAAGGCTCTTCAGGAGATTTTTGGGTCCATTAGGGAAATCAACACCATTCTTTCCTTCCCAACAACCCTCTTTCATACCAATCCAACTTTTAGGAACCCAATCCTATCAAGACCAGGGAAACAACAATGTAAACAACATCCATGCTTGCTTTATTGTCCAACAAAGGGGCATGTATTAAAAGGGACGCAGAGCTAAGAAACACCATGGGGCTTGCTCACAGAGATCTGCTTTCTGGTCCTTGAATATTGTGTAATCCAATGGCAAAAGACAGAGCTGTCCCTAGATGGTACACACATTAGAAAGACCAATGAATTCCAGTAATACTGACCAGAATTCTCCCCGACGGTGCACAACTGGCCACCAGTCCACAAATGTGGCAGGGGAGGATTATAGGAACAATGGATAGGTCTGAGCAGAAAAACCATTCTGTATGATGTATACTCAGCAGGAGAAAGCATTTTTCATTAGAATCAAGGGAGCAAAATCCTCAGAAAAGATAGAGGCAAACACTGTGTTAACTGGAACATAGTTGTGGTAACAGTGGTTAGGCCTTTTCACAACATTATTGTAAAGTAACTCTAACTAAACAAAACACAGTCACTCCTCTTTAACGGAATTAATAAAACCATGGAAGATAAGGAATCAGGGATAGCAATACTAATCCCAGAAAGAAAAGCTGGGATTTAAGTCATGCTGACAGGGCCTCATAGTATCACTGTTTCTTGGCAAGGAGTCCTTCCTTATCCCAAAATGACAGCAAATACTCATGATTGGTAGGTGGGGCAAAACCAGAGCATGGCAGGTTGAGCCAAGAAGAGGCGATCTGGAATGCCCCTCCAAATCCAAAAAGCACCCACTTTTTAAAATCCCTCCAGCAATGTGTAAACCCAAAAAGTCTGTAACACCAGAGGCAGACATCTGGTTTTTATTTCTTGGCAATCTTGATACTTCTCATTACAATTTGCTTGCAAAGGGAAAGGACGGTTGAGAACATGGGCCTCCCATCTTCCACTGCATGGAAAGTGGCAGGGATCTCCAGCTGTGAGAGAGGATGCGGCAAGACAATGAGATGCCAGGTGCCTGGGGCAGGAGTGTGGCCAACAGTCATTTTGGCCCAAGTTCACGTCCTCTCAAGGGGAGGTCTCCATGGAATGGCCATGACTCCCAACATGGCCAGAAAACCCATCGATCCCACTCATGGGACAGATGATCAAAGGGGCTGCGCTCTTCCCTCCCGAGTAACTCAGACTGAAGTAGGGTCGCACAGGCCCACAGAAGGTAGCATGAGAGAAAGTAAAGGTGTGACACCTTTCTGTCACGTTATAGAATGAGACCTCACCAGCATCATAGTCCAAAAAAATCCCCACCCGCTGGAGAGGGGTCCGTAGGGGAAGTGCAGTCATTGGGGAGGTAAGAGCCCAATATTCTTTCCCATACCACAATGATACTGCCCAGAATCCATTCTGGGGGGCCGAGGTGACTCCACCTTTTCTGCATACAGAGTCTTCACAGACACCTATTGTCCACTTGGCCTTATCGCCCACCTCAACCTCCCAATAATGTCTCCCAGCGATGAAGCACGGTGAGCCCAAGACACAGGGGAAGAGATTGAACCGCTCAGGATTGTCAGGCAGGTCCTGCTGAAGGTAACTGTATCGCACTTGCCGCAGATTATCAGAGAGGATCAGGCTGGGGTAGGCTGTATCTGGGTCCAGAGTCACGTCCACTGCAGAGACACAAAGGAGAGGTCACTCCTGAGGACTGAGAGAGCCCACCCTCCTGAAGCACCCAACCTTTCTCCTTCCTACTTCCCCAAGAAGAGAATAGAGCTTCCTGCTATAGGATGTTCATCTGATAAGGAAAAGAGATTCTAAAGTTGATATGTTAAAGGTTTGGATTAGCTGGTTACTTTATTTTATTCAGTATATTATGAAAGTATAAAATGTTATTTACATCTTAAACCAAAATATCTTATGAATGAATCTGAGGTTTTCATACAGGTGTGTTACAATCTTCACCTGAAAGCCTCAGGAGTCAGAAGAAAGTTTCAGAGAATTTACAACATTACAGAGTTTAGAAAGGTAATGAGGGCCTTAAAGTAGTAGAATATGGTGGTCTCCTATGGTCAATTATTAATCTGCGGTAAAATACATGACACCTTATTTGGGGTAAAGCTCCTAAGGAGTCCTGCAAAAGTTCAAGTTTTGTTATCATGAAGATTAAAAATCTTTATCAATTTGCCTCCTCCTCCAGTTCCTTTTTTATGTCCTTCATTCTGTGGAATCTTTACTCCGCACAGCCAGTTCCTTCCTATTCATCTTCTAACATTTAGTCAAAGACCTACATTTTCCTCAAGGCTTTTTCATAACCCAAACTATACCACTTCCCTGTTTCTAAAATCCCAAACTATTATCTATGCTACAAATTTTGGTATTTTGGAATATAGCATTGTACAACCATGCGGTGCTTTCTGTTTCCTCATTTTCTCTTCACAACTTGCTGGTTCATAAGATTTATACCTCAACTTTGAGAACCAAAGCTTAGTTGTGTTGAATGATTCCCCATAAAAATCATGAGAGGCAACTTGTGGAGGTGACCAAGATCCTCAGTTCTTAGTACACAACAGTCAGCCATCTGTTTCTTCCTTATTCTATCCCACCCATCTCTATCTTATGCTGTGGATATACCTCGTACCTCTGATCATAATGTAAACTCCCAAGGTAGCAGAGGGTCTCATATTCCCTTTATGGTAATCTGGCACAGTGTCAAACTGTATAACCAGTAACCAAAACTAATAATCAACACATTCAATTAAGATCTGTGGAAAAAATTATTTCCAGATAAAAACTAGAGAATGCCAGTGAATGAAGACTATTGTATACAGTCTCTCTCATCATGAAGAGGATTCCACACAGCAGAAGATAGCCAGATGATTCCCAAATCACATACTTCTTGGGATCACTGGTATTGCCTAATCTCTTTGAGCCACAGAGAGAAGGTGATGGTAGGGGAGGATGACGATCAATTTTTGCCCCAAACGTAATAAAGATCAGAGGCACAGGATTCCTAGACTCATGGTAGCATTCAGTCTTACTTTTGGAAAGGTGACTGTTTCCTTCAAAACAGTTATCTCTAAGGTTAGGGAGGTGGACCAGGGTACCAGGGTTATCAACTGCTTCTACTTTTGGGGAAATATAATTTCTTTTCTATAACCCTTCACCACTGGACCAATCGGTAGCATCAGGATGGATGGCGA